AATGACCACAGGTGACAGTTTTACTGACCACAGGGTTTGACTTTAGACGTGGGTATCAAGTCAAGGGAGAAAAGTTGAATCAGCAACGACCGATCTGTTATCGAGAGATAACAGAAAAGTTGAATCCTCTTTGTAGGACTTCTCCTTCAATTGTTGTAGATCAAAAGGGACCTGCACACATAGGTCAACAAAGATTCAACACTCCCACTCGATTTCCCACATATTGATATCTAAAGGCCAAACCCTTACATCTTGTCTGTGAGCTTTTGGGGATCAACATCCCAAAGTCTAACCCCTACTTTCTATCTACCCTAAGTCGTTTGTCACCCCTTCTCCTTTCGTTTCAAGGAGTCTCTTTGCCTATGTTCTAAGTTCTCTCAGGGAAATTCACATTTTCCCTACTCTCAGTCCTTGCATTTTTTCTCTTGTGGATAAGCACACTCTCTGTTGCTTATGCGGTAGTCTGGCCGAGATCAACTCAAGCCAGTGGCGATTTCTCCAATGAACTGTGGCTACACGGCGTATCTTCTTTCTCTAATTATTTTTCCCCGCGGTATTCACCTTCTTTTACGTTCCTTTTAAAGAACCTTTGGAGTCCCTCCCGCTGGAGCACTCCCTTTTTTTTTTTTTTTTTTTTTTTTCTTCTTCTTGTCCTGACCTACACGAGTAGCGGGTTGAATCACCCGGGAATCTTCCACTACTTGATCAATTCCAGGCAAAACGGTTAGTCAAAGGAGTAGTCGAGTAGCCCCTTGAGACGACTCAGTCATCCTTCAATGTCCATGAAGTCCTCATGCAACCAAGTAGTTCAAGCAATTTAGTGCAAGCGACATGATAACTCACCCGGGAGTATCCTTTATTAGCTAGCAGGTAGTTAGGAGATCCTGGTCGAACCATCTCAACACTTGACCCAATATTCAGAAAACACTCCAAATCCAAGTGTCAATACATAATTCAAGTTAGTAATAGGTGGTCTTCACGGAAGCCTCTGATCATTCTTTGGTCAGAGTTCAGTCTATCCTCAAAAGGTGTAATAGGATGACCCTACGAGAGTCACGCTACTACTTTCTCAGAGCCATGCGAGCTAGGATTATGTTAGCAGACTCAAGCAAACACCAGATTCTTCCTTTGTAGGAGTATCTTATTAGACTAGTTAAGATAGAGTCAAGCAAGCAATAGGATGACCCCACGGGAGCCTCCCATTTCCAGCTTCAATGTTAAATAAATAGATTTATAATATCCATCAGTCATACCTGAACAAGTAGCAGGGTTACTCACCCGGGAGTATCCCTCTATTGTCCAAACACAATCGCCTCATTCCTTCCCTCCGTTAGTTGACCCCCAAATCAAACAAGTATTAGGATAACCCTCACAGGAGTCATCCTACTACCAGTTTGATCCGTAGGAGATCAATCAAAACAACTATTGGTTGAGTTGTCCTGACAGTTCACCTAACTGGCCTATGCATCGTAAATGAAGCAAAAGGAAAGTTGACTCCCACGGGAAGTCGGACAGATCGTTCCAGAATTAGGAGTTCGCGTACTCACCAGGGAGTACTCAAATTCCTTGCCAGTCTGGTTCGATCGGTGATACGAGAGCCCCATGGGAGCCTCCTGCTACCTTCGCTTCTGTCAGTTGTTGGGGATATATACCACACGGGAGTACCGAATTAACTCTGCTTTTATAAATTGTTGACGACATGTACCCCAAGGGAGTACCGTATTAACTTTGTTGTTGTTAATTGTTGAAGACATGTACCCCACGGGAGTACCGGATCACCCCCCCTAGATGTAGCCTGTAAGTCAATAGAGAAGATGTACGACACCTTCTCGCTACCAATATCGGAATCAAACAAACATTACACCAATTTGTTACTTTAATAAGATGAATGGAAGGGTAACTTCACATGGCGAGCACCCCATCATCCAGTTTGGTAAGCTCATACAAGCAGTGTGACAACCCTACGAGGGTCTTCATCACACGACTTTATGTTTCAGAACCAAGCAAACTAGGTTCCTTTTCGATTCTCCTAAGTTCATTCCTTTCATCAGACATGATTCTTACTTCAATCGTATACCCTTTTTCATTTCGATACACTTTTAGTCCTCAAAGAAAACACAAACAATATATCACACACTCATACAAGCAGTCCAGTAGAAAGTTATAACTTATATGGGTATATGGAAAGGAAATGTGATGCGTACCTCGCGATTCTCTGCCTCCAAAGTTCCTCCTGAACTCTGGCAGAGCTCCCGCAATTGCCCTGTTATGTCTGGCCATCTGAACATCCGTCTCCCACAGAGTAGATTTTCAATTCAAAGAAATCATACCACTTCAGCTAATTGTGGAAACGTAGGGAAATGAGGGGGTTGGAATACGAGAGAATGGGGAAGGATAGAGGAGGTAGGCACCGTCACACGGTGACGATGTCTCTCTTCTCTCAGTGCCCCGTACTTCTCCGTATCTGACTCTCCCCATTACCTTCACTGGCAATATGATAACAATGATGATGATTATAGTAATACCTCCTGGACTGATATGAGAGCAAAAAGGAGATGGGGGGGGATTAGATCAAGGAGATAACCGAGGACGATAGAGGTAGGCATCGTTACATGGTGACGATGTCTCTCTCTGGTACCTCACTCCTTCCCTCCACATCTGATCCGCCTCCTTACCCATGACGCTAATCAATGAACCAATAAATAATATGAATAATAAATTTGGAGAGCAATATTAATAAGAATATTTTGCATTACAAAAGGTGATTTATCTTCCCATTAAAAGAAAAAGACAATGCAGGAGCCACAAAACTCTCCTTTCGCCCTCTTCGTCATTTCTCCCCTTCCCTTTTCACTTTCCTCCTTCATCCTCTCTCTTCTCACTCTTTCATCTTTTTTTCTCTCCTCCTTTTCTAACATTTTTTGTTTTTCACCCTCATTCATTCTCCTTGTACCTGCCACACACCCCGGGGCATAGCAACTTGCTCACGGTTCCACATACGCGTTTCTAAAACCATGTGTCTGACGCCCTACTTGGCCACAATTTGCTAGTGTCACGTCGTTTGGCCGCGACCCATGCCACTTAACGCCTGCTCTTGGGTTTGGTGACAATACTGCGTTTCTCAAGGGCCTACGGCCTTCATGCTGCGCATGCTTAGGGTGTGATAACCCATGTCCTGGCTCAGCCGCTTGCTGCAGTTGTCCAAAGCCTTCATTGAACAAGGCTGATGTAGGGGCATTTCGCGGGTATTCAGGGCTGCCTTCACTTAGGGCGGGCACGAGGTGTGTTGGGATTGCCAGTTACATTAATAATAGTAATAATAATAATAATAACAATAATAATAATAATAATAATAATAATAATAATAATAATAACAATAATAATGATAAATAACCCTATTAACGATAATAAGAATAATAATAAATCAAATAATAATAATCATAATAATAATCGATAATAATGATAATTATCATAATAATAATAATAATAATAATAATAATAATAATAATAGTAACGTAATAGAATTATCCGAAAGGCGACATGACAGATTCCAGATCGCAAAGTCACATTGAGAACCAGGTAGTCCGTCGCTGTCTATTAAAGCAAAATTGCACCAACCCTTTTCCGATGGAGAACCAAAAACGCCGAACCCGATCGTCTTGGAGCGCAGACAATGCAACTGTCGATGCCCTCAGTAGAGTCGAAGTACATGAAGATGTCGACCTTTTACAGACCATCGCCAAGATCAGGTATGTACTTGTTCGTCACACCTTCATCTTCCTCTTTTTTCCCCTAGGTAGGCGCTTCTGTCTATTTGCTTGCTTGTCTGACTGTTCGTGTCAGTCTGACTGCCTGTCTCTTCCCTCTCTCTACTTTAGAATCTTCACTCTGAATGCGTTCGCTGCTACTGAGTCTCATATCTTTCTTACTACTAACATATGCAGCTATGGCCGCCTTTCTTCTCAGTTCAGTGCTGCCCAACAGGCCTCTCGCACTCATGCTTACTTGCAAATAGCACGCAAATGCTTCTAAATCAATGGTAATTCCACACTTCTGACGAATGAGCAGCATCCATGAAACGTGGTCGGCCAGTCCCTATCCTGACCTGGACTGAGTCTCAACTCGTCCCAGCCTTTGCTTCTTTTTGGTCTGACTCTGACCTGGTACCACATGCTCACGGCCTGCTTGCTTCAGCACGTCAAGGCCTGATACTTTTCTCGAGCTTTCATTGGTGTGCTGCTGCTTGAGCCTGTGAGTCACGACTTCATCTGTGGAACATGACTTTTGACTGTGGGTGGTGACTCTCGCCTGTAAGATGTGACTTCTGACTGTCGTTTTGTTTGTCTGTCCCTATCCTATCTCGCTGTGTGATGAAAATGAACACAAGTATGATGCAGAACCTGGAACCGACCATTACAAAGAGCAATATAATGCAGCGGAAGACTTGAAAACATGGATCTGTCTCACATCTGACTCGGACTATACACAGGCTCACACACATACATTCATCGGGTGAGAAAGCCTGGCGCTCAAACATAGAAGATGGGCCAGGGCCTGTACACAACACACATGGAGGAATGTAGGGGGGAGAGACGAAGGGGGGAGGAGAGGGAAGATGACGTCAACTCAATGTTAATCGAACACTCTCAATCATACATCAGGGGTGTGAAAGCCCTGGCCTTGGACATAGACGAAAGGCCAGGGTCTGAGATCATCCACGGACGAATGGAGAGAGGAGAGAGACGAAGGGGGGAGGAGAGGGAAGATGACGTCAACTCAATGTTAATCGAACACTCTCAATCATACATCAGGGGTGTGAAAGCCCTGGCCTTGGACATAGACGAAAGGCCAGGGTCTGAGATCATCCACGGACGAATGGAGAGAGGAGAGAGACGAAGGGGGGAGGAGGAGATGGCGCCAACACAAAGTCACCGAAATAGGAATCCAAAATGTCGGAGATACAGAATCTCGAAATGTTGAAGACTTGAAGTTACGGAATCTCGAAATGTCGTTGGTAACAGATCTCCAAATAGTCCTCCCAACATCCTACTCTAAAATAGTCTCAGTCTTGATGTCAGCAATATCTCACCATCGATCTTTGTCCCATAGTAACCGAGAAGGTGGAAGGTTAGGAGAAGAAGACGAAGAAAAAGAACCGAGAGGGGCAGAGGAGAGGGTGGAGATTGAGAGGTGGGGCGGAGGAAGATCCTCCTGCCCTGATCCAGTGTCCTGCACCCAGTGTCCAGGCACCAACCTGCAGGTGCAAGGTGCCGCCTTGGAGCTGCTGAAGACTCGCCCTTGCTGCTGGAGCTATGGCGCTCACAGGTAAGCGTCAGGTAAGTTGCTACTCTCTCTCTCTCTCCTATACAGCTAGCGCTACACCAATCGCTGTTGCCTGGAGCTGCGCTAACCAAAATAGTGCAGCGCTGCTTCCTCAATGCCGCGCCTCCTAGTCTGTCCCGAACAGACCGCTGGCTGGTCCTAAGTACCGACGGTGGCCTGTTCGGCTTGGCTGCTCATGAAGCCGCGCCGTGATCTGGACCGTTCCAGTCAATCGGCGGTTCAGATCAGACCCGCGGGAAGTGGCAGCCTGGCTCAAACAAAAAACGTTTGGGCTGGTTTCCCGCTCAGGGTCTGCAGTTGCAGGCGCGGGTTTAAAACCGGTTTGCTGGGGCCTACCGTCGGCCTTCCCAAAGGTCCGGCCTTTAACCCAGGTCGGACTGACCCAACATGGCCACGGTCTGGGATAACTCCCTAGACCTAGCTGCGGGCCTAACAGGGCCCGTGTGGAATCCAGTATGTAACACACGGGCAGGTGATGAGGCGACAGTGGTCTTCAGGGAAGGAGGCGCAGATGTGGGTGGACAAGGTGTGATGAGGGCAGAAGCAAGAACGTACCTGGTGTATGTGGAGGTCGGCATTGGTGTTGACGTCATGTACATCGGTCTTCGACGGCAAAGAGAACCTGTTGCAAGAATGTAGATAGAGTAGATAGGCTGAGTGACTAGGCTGGGCACTGGGCGCCATACAGTAGGAGCGACATTGGATAGTGCGTTGGTGTGGCCTGAGGGCTTGGAAATTGGCTCACGAGTCCATTGTATTGTTCTTATGTGGATGGAAGCTTGGTGCATTTATGCTATCTGCTCGGTACATGACTATCTGGACTTCTGCGTGATTTTGCAACTTGGTTTTCTGCCTATCACTCTTGCTCATATTCCTTGCATGTGCTTTACCCTGCAATCATACTCGACTTCTTCACACTTGTCATGTATGCAAACAGCGAAACAGCAACTGGCGACATGCGCCCACACAATACTCAAGATATCGTAACCAGATATGAGTTCTCTTCAACTGGCTATGGCGACTGGGCGCCCACACAACTCACTGTTCGCACTCTGGATCACC